AAGAATAAGAATGTCTGCTGAGAATTCATTTTAGGTTTAGAAATCTCCTAAGCTTAAGACACGTTAACATTATAAATCTACCATAACAATAAAACTGTAGAGTAAAACAATAAAAGCACATTGACTTACTCTCTTAGTTGCTCCTTTGAAAAAGATGCAGGCTTGTTTAACACTCATGATGACGGCCTTTGTTGAGATCCTGAGCCACTTGTGTTTGTGAATTCCTTCCTTGAAAAAATTAAACTCACTGTGCTATATTTTACTGAATCATTTGGTCTCTGTTTGTGGTGCAAGCGTGTGTGTGTGTGTGTGTAAACTGTTATCAGTGGTGATCTGTGGATGCCAGAGGGATGAGACTCTTATGGATTATCTCTGCAGCTTTGGTCTAGAAACAGAAAGATAGGCTTAATGCTGCACGTATACACAATTTCATATACGTCAAAGATTATGGTTATTTTGAGAGGCATGTTTATAAATAAACAACAAATGTGTTGATATGTAATAAACGATTTCACAGCAATGAGAACTTTAGTAATCGGAAACTGTTTACCGAGGATACAAATAGTTGTCTCGCCACATTTTTAGATTTCAACTTTTATTCATATGGAAAAAGAACGTTGAATAAATCTAAATATGTGTTGACTCCATCAATCTTTTTACATGATGCTAAGGAGAAAATGAAACACACACACGCACACAGCAGTTTTACAATGATTTAAAAAATTGACCTGATTATTAAAGAATGGCTGCAGCAGCTTCTTCACTGTATATCTTTCTGAAAATATACATCATCAGACATTACATAACCATATATGCTTTGGCAAAATTAAAGGTTTAGTACAACCTAAGACGATATTCTCCGAAGTGCACGCAAGCGTGACATTTGCATTTGAACTGGTGGCTGCATTGCATGAGAGGATGAAATAAATGAGCACATTGATCAAAAGAAGCATTTCCAGTGAAAATTAATTTTAAATGTAATGGCTCTGCTGCGGCCGTATGTGATGTATGTAAACAGGATCAGCATGAGCAGGATGTCATGATAATTCCATGAAATCACTTTCATATCTTTTTACATAATATAATTTATTCTGTTCTATATGTACTTGACATACAGGCAGATCAAAAGCCAAACAAACTTTGGCCAAAAGATTCTAAATTAAAATGTAACCGAGTGGGTTACAGTGGTGTTATTGGCTCTATTGAGCTAATTCTGGCTGTTTCTGTACTTTCTGTTCACCAGCTGCAACTGATGCAAACTCATTTTCAGACATGCCCGATGAGCTTGGTGAACTTGAGGAAGTGTTGTTAACAAAGGTTTTGAAAAGTAACAGAGATATAATTCTTAATTCAACAATTTCAAGATTTTAAGGACTTTGTTTTAAACAAATCAAAAGTGTGATGCAGATAATGTGTCCATTTTGTCAGGGTAACCAGTGCTGTGGGAAAAAGTATAGAATCATATGTAATATATTTTTATTTGAATTATATTTGAGCCAAAAAATTATGTTTGTCTCTCCCTTGTAAAATCCTGATTGCAAGTCCAGACTTTTCAGGGGTTGTGTGCTCTCATCTTTAGTCTAAAGAAGATGGACACACTGTCTGTTCTGCTGACATTGCTCTGTCTGCCTCTGTTTGAGTGGCAAAAGCACCCCAAGAAGTTCTGAGTCTTTCCTGTAAGGGATCTGGATTTCAGTTCAGTCGCTATGGATTCACTGGATCAGACAACCTGTAGGAAAGGCAATTCAGTGGCTGGGGCTTATTTACTACGATGCAAGCCAAAAACATTACGCTAGCAGTCTTCTAGGACGTAGAGGAATAACCAGAGACAACAGCAACAGCATGCTGCCTCTAAGACTGTCCAACCTAAAGATAGAGGACTCTGCTGTGTATTACTGCGCCAGATACACAATGAATGGTTAGAGTGAGTGGAGATGCTTTGTTGTTACTAAGGGGTAACAACAGATCTGACACTTGAGTCAGGCCACAGTTAGACGCCATACTTGCAACGTAGGAGTGAAAAAAAAACCCCCACTGAAAGTACCAGCTGAGGTTGTGGTTTGAAACTTCCTCCATCTTTTAGTTGATTTGGTTGCTTTTCTACAGCAGTAGTAGTTAGTTATATTCCCACGGGTAATTTCTAAGGCATGTGCAAAGCATTTTGCAAATTACAGTTATTAAGTATTGATTCAAAGATCACCAATCACATACATAATGAATAAAAGAAAACCATAAAACAGTAGTAGAGGAAGTTCTCAAATGTTTTACCCAAGTAAAAGTTCAAGTAAATAGACAAAACGTAATCATGTAAATGAAAAGTGTCATATATAAACTTTTCTACTTGAGTACACAGTAATTAAGTACTTTCTGTTAAAGCAACTTGAAGTATTAAAGCACTTGTCAAGTGTAACCTTTACTCTAATGAAACGGTCGTGTACATCATTAACTGTTGCTAATGGATATTTAGTTTTATACAAACTAATAGAGTCTCAAATGAATAGAGAATGCTGCAGATGATTCTATTGAAAACATTTGCATTGTCATTTTATTGAATGAGTTTTGATGGTGTCCAAATCCAGTTAAGACGAATTCCCTTCTGGTTATTGATTAAGTTTAAATATAAAAAAACATCTAAAAGCAGCGCATTGATAAATGGAATGCAGTAGAAAGTTAATAAGTTAATAATAATATTTGCTGATATATGTTGTGGGAAGTGCCTGAAAAAGTACAGACTGAAGTAAAGTACTTTTTTACATGCCATCATTGTGATAAAGATGTAACTGTTTGATGATAAGTGTTTGTAAAAAACAGAAATTAAGTCTCCTGCTGAGGGTGGAAAACGATGGCTTGAAGTTTTTTTGGGCTGTTAAAATCAAGGAAGGCCAAAGCCATTTAAACTTTTATTCACAGTGCACAAGCAGGCAGCTTTATACATATGCATGCTTCTTTTCATTCATTTATACTTTGTGTGAAATAACAAAAGCAGATGTGGTGTCTGAAAGCGGGTTTTCTCCAGGGACATCCAGCACCAGAATAGAAGACCACAGAAGGGTTTTGGATGAAGTTGAAAGAAGCATAGACCAATGCCTTTCAAATTTGGAGAAATCCACCAGACCAGGAAGCAGAGAAACATTGGAGAACCAATTGGAGGAGCTGCAGATACTGAAGAAAAACTTGCAGAAAAAASAACCCCAAAAGAAATATTCACTGCCCCCACGAAAGGGAAGGTACCTGAAAAGATGTGTCCAGTGGTAATCCGAGGACAGAGTTTAGAGTACAAGCCTTGGCAGAGYACAGATATGTCTGCTATACTCGAGAAGTTGCCTACACTTCAAGATGGAGCACATCCTTGTTTAATGAGCGTCTCTGAAAAATAATCAGACAGAAATGATCCCCATGCCATGTTTAAAAATGCACAGAACGTACAGTAAAGATCACTGAGGACTGAGACAGATATGATGAGCTATTAATGAATTATACAAACTGCAGCCTAAACATCTTTTATAGTCAGTGTCCATCTCTCTGCAAAGTGAACTTCCTCACAGTCGAATTATAAACACTTGAAGTCGTGCTGTCAGCTTTAGGAGAAAAGGAGAGGTTCCAATCAGATCACCGTCAATACCGACCATGTTCCCTGTAGCTGTGCTGCTGTGAGTCCAACTGAGGCAGCATGATCACAGCTCACCCACTGTCATCACACTGACTCAATATTTACCACGTTTTCCGTCTGCAGGTGTGAAGTGTGAAACTTTGACGCAGCCAGCCTCTGTGACTGTGCAGCCAGGTCAACCTCTGACCATCAGCTGTCAGGTCTCTTATTCTGTCAGCAGCTACTGGACAGCTTGGATCAGACAGCCTGCAGGAAAAGGACTGGAGTGGATTGGGATGAGACATACAGGAGCTTCATACTATAAAGAGTCACTAAAGAACAAGTTCAGTATCGACTTAGACACTTCCAGCAACACAGCGACTCTAAAGGGACAGAACATGCAGCCTGGAGACACTGCTGTGTATTACTGTGCCAGAGACACAATGATACAAACCATCAGCCGACCTGAACAAAAACCCCTCAGTGCCTGAACACTAGTTACATGAAGCCACCAGAGGAGGAGCCCAAAGACTACTGATGATTTCAGACCAGTTTACTGGGACTGTAAAGAGGAATCAGTCCGTTTCATAAAAAAAAATCTGAAACAGAAAAACTTTTATTGCCAAGTAAGTTTTTTTACCCAGACATGGAATTTGTTTTGGTGTTGTTGGTGCATGTCAGACATATCTAAATATAAGATAAGAAAATCAAGTATTAAAATGTAACAGTATAAATTTAAAAATATATACACAGTATGTTTTAATGGTAAAAAAAATTGAGAAGAGCAGTACAGCGGGGTAGTACAATGTGCAAGTGTTCAGAGTATGCAGAGTATTTCCAATATGAAGGTATATAGCTGAGAGTTAATGTAAGCCATAGAGTTGTGAATGCAGTGTCAAAGTGACATATGGAGGCAGAGGTGGAGTGTGAAAGAGTGTCAGGGTGGGTTCCGGGCCTTGTTGATAAGGCTAGTAGCGGATGGGAAAAAACTGTTCTTGTGGCGTGAGGTTTTGGTCC